TTCTACCCAGGGAAGGGGGTTACTCGTGTCCCCCAGTTGGGGACCATTCCCTAAGCACTCTGCTGTAGCTCGGAGGAAAATTCCCAAGAGCCTTTTCTGCTCAGATTGTTCCCCTGGCAATCTGGGGAACTGACTATGCTAACTGATTATGCCTATTCTCAAGGGCTTTTCAAAAATCCTTAGTTTTCAATGAACTCATTTCACTTTTTTCTTGGCCCACTATATACGGCCTATGAGCCACTGGTGGTCCATGAGAACCCTTCGGGTGGTCTCCTGAATTAACACTCAGATACGCACGTTTAGCTTTCTGGCTTTGGCCTGAAGTTGAAATTGAAATGTCATTGAATACAATCCAGATATGACCTCACTGGTCCCTCATCCAGTGCAGGGCTATTCATCATCTCAGCAATTGTTTTGCAAGGGTGAGTGGGACGAGGTGGATTTGAGGATGCAGACAGACCCTTGTTCTGGGGACTCTAAGAACGGCAACACCGTTCCGTGAACACACTAAGACCCAGATGCTACTTTCAGGAAACTGATATGACCAACTACAACATCCAAAGGGCCAGAGGACGGAAGAGCTCCGAAGAAACAGCACAGAGCACCCGTGAACTCTGAAAAACTGTCGAAGGGTAAGGAATCCTCCCCAAAGCTTTCAGGATCTGCATTAAATTGGGAACTCAAACTGTGAGTATCATCTAACAACCCCAGAGACGGAGACTGCCCAGTGTTTCTTGCCAAACTAAAAGAAGAAAATTACAAGCCTCCTGCTTAACCACAGCGGTGGTGCTGAGCCACATTTCAGAGGAGTGCAGTGGAACGAGACCTCTGCTAACACCCACGAGGCCCAGCGGGCCGGTGCTGCTCCACCCACCCGGGCCCGAGGCCACGAGCCAATTCACACAATTTCTGTCTCGGCCTAAATCAGAAACATCACCACAAAGGAGAGAAAAGACTGGACACAAATCATATCAATATGGTTTATTGAATGAATCGTTCAACCTCTCGGGAAAACAGCCTACTTTTTTCCTACAATCTAATGAAAAGTTTGTAACTCATTCCTTAAGTGACACCTCAGTAGTTCACTAAGAAACAAAACAAACCCCAGCAACCTTGGAACACCTGTCTTCAAGACCGGTCCCCAGATACCGACAGCAGAAATGTGGCAACGCACAGTCCCAGGAGCAGATGCTCCGGTCCCTGAATTTCCATCACCTTCAGTGCAGGCAGAGGCGGAAAGCGTCCTGTGGAATCTCAGGTGCCGAGGAAGGCCAGCGGCCCAGGGAGGGAGGCCAGCGGCCCAGGGAGGGAGGCCAGCGGCCCAGGGAGGGAGGCCAGCGGCCCAGGGAGGGAGGCCAGCGGCCCAGGGAGGCCCATTTTCGCTGGTAACGCAGGCGTCGCCCCACTGACAGAACCTGCCCCGCAGCCACAGTTCTCAAGCTGGATCCCCACTCCTCAGCTTCTAGCTCAGTGACTCAGGGCGTGTTGCTTAATTTCCACTTGACCCTTGGCCTCCTCACCCGAAAATTACAGCCTACTTCACAGGACTGCTGTGAGAATTCAATGAGAAAAAACACGAAACTAAGAATCTGGAAACGCTGCTGAACACACAGTAAGCATTCCATAAACGTTTGCTATTAGTATTATCTGGGAATCTTCAAGATTTGAAACAAAAGAGAAAAAGGAACCCATTCTCAGCTGGGGATGGTGTGCGACCCGTCCTTGGTGACCGCTGAAGGCTGCCTCCAGCCTGACAGGACCGTGGAAACAGGCCTGGGGACTGCGGACAGCCAGGGGCCAGTGCGCCCGACAGCTCTCTGGGCGCCCCCTGCGGAGGGTGACCTAAACCTCAAGGTTGTGAATGCCTCTCCTAGGAAACAGGACACAGCACCAGGGATAACAGAGAGAGATTTCCCGCTGTCCAGAGGGCAGGCCAGCGACGGCATCACATCCCAGCCCTCAGTCTCCGCTCGCTCGGCTCACTGAGTCTCGCACCCTTATTAAGGGTCACTGTCGTATAAATGGTGATTTTCACCCTCTAGGAGCTTATAGTCCAAATAAAATTTCAAATAACTAAAAAAATGTAGCCCACCATGTAACAGCATTTGATAAGTAACCTCTGTTTGCCCGACATTAACCAAGTGCCTCCGGATGTTACACATGTGAGAAGAATCTGCTTCTGCATTTAGAACAAAGAGGATCAGCATCAGAGTGAGACCTTGGGGGACGGTGGCGTGACCAACACAGTCTTGCAGACACACATAAAACCATGCACTGAATCCTGTTCTGTCAGAATTCAATGCTGAGAAATTTCTGTTACATATTTTATGCCATAATTGACCTGCGTACCACTTTAAGAACATCACAATAGACAATTTCAATAATTACTACAATTGTGGGAAAATCTTACTCGTGAAGTGTATTCTGAACACTTTGCAAGCACTGCATGTCTTATTGACTGTTTTTATGGGGAAAATATATTTGTTAATCAAAAAAGTAATTGAACCGCATGTAAGCATGTCATCATGCTCACACAATTAAACTGATGAATTGGAATCCATGTTTCTGATGTTCTTTGAAAAAAATAAAAAGTATTATGAGAGTTACATCTTGGAAAGACTCATGAAGAAAATACAGGCACATTAAAGACACAGAACATTCTGGAACAGGGGAAAGAAAGGTTCTTCATGATTATCTTCAGAGCAGAGCAAGAAGGGAGTCATAGATTTAAATCCAGATGGACAGAAATTAATTATCCCCCTTAAAACAGTCAGATAACATAAAAGACAGAATCTATAACCCATATATAACATGACAGAAACCAAAACCAAACAAGAAAAATTACCTACATATTTCTTCCTAGTTCAGGACTCTGATTTCACTTATATTCCAGAAGGGAATTAGAGGAAAGAAGTTTTTGTTTTGTTCTGTGTTCTTGGTGAGCAGCCTAAAGTCTTACGAATTTTTGTCTGGTCTCAATAGCACCATAGGAAAAGTCCCTTAGCAACTGATGAGCATTACTTATTCCTTTTTGATTCTGATTCACACCAAGCCCAATATGATTGCGCTGGTTCTGGTTTTTCACTCCAAGTAAAAAAGTAAAATGACTTTAAGGTCATTTGAATCATTCTTTACCTTTCAATAGATTAAATCTGACATTATTACAGCCCCGGATTCCTCTCTTTGTTTTTGAATGAGTAATGTAGCTTTTCCCTCCCACCTCACTTCTTGCTTCCTTCTCTTCCCTTCCTTCCCTCCTTCGTTTCTTAAATACGCATCCTTTAAACCGGCACACTGAACACAGTATGTAGACTTGGGTCATCACCGCTGTGCAGATGGAGCTGAAGCTGTACATCGATAAAGCACCTTCCATAGGGGATCTCAAAGCAAGGGCATCTCCTAAACGCCTGAAACACTGTCAAGAAAGTCCTGTTGTAATGTGTTTAAGGTGGCAATTAGTCCCTGCCTGAGCACAAAACCCAGGCCTTCTGACTAGAGAGCTAAGGTCCCTTGCCCTAACTGGAGTGAATTCCTGATTTATTTATACAAAGAATATAGTCCTTCCTGGGAGATGCAGCAAAAAGAGGTACTCTTTCAAGTCGCCCTACTCTCATGTGGCTCCCCCAAATCTCACCAGAGAGGAAGAGAGATGTTGGCAGATCTCAGCATATTAATAGCAAACAACAAATTAATAACTATGTATTTTAATCTTCAACATTCATAATTGCACAAAGTATCACCGATCATATAATACATGCCAGTTAATCTAATGAAGAAATGAGTCAAGTCAAAAATCCAAAGCAATACTTTGAGCATGTAAAAACTCTGAGAGTGACATTTAACACCCAAAGTGCAGAACCAGAACAGGTCTTTCAGGAGTAGTTATTTAAAATCCTTCCCAACAGGGCAAAGCACTATGGAGAAAGATATATAAATACACTCCACTGGCCAGACTGCTCAGCTAAATGCACAATTCTAGTAGGTTTGGCTAACCTGACTTTCCACATATATATAGTAGTTTCCAACACTCGAGTGTTGTTTGGAGATGGGGATGCAGAATACGAAGAAAGGGGAACTAGCATTTACTCTCAAAATAGGATGGAGAGGGGAAATCTAAACTCCTGACTAGTCAACTTTAAAATGGCATAACCAGAGCTTTGTTACAGAGAAAACATTTTTTTTTTCCTCTTAAAAATGTATAGGTGTCAAAAATGGCTGAAAATCTTGTCCACGCTAGGGGAAAGTTGAGTGTGGAAAAATTTGCATTAAAAAAAATTTATGTTGTAAAGAAAATAAAAAGCCAGAGCATTTTGGCATTAGCAAAAGGCTGAACTAAGTTCTCAGGCAATAAATTTGTGGGGAAACATGACAGGCTCCTCATTAAAGCTATGTGTACGTTGGCTGAATTTTAGACAAGATTCTTGAATCTTGTGGAAAATTGGGCACGGCTTGACATCTGAACAATGTCGCTGGTTTGTTTGATTTCTAAAGCATTGGAAAATGTTGTACTTTGGAAATCAAGTAGAGAGGAATAAACACACTAAAAGAGAGCTGGGTTGAATCTGAAAGTTATTTTTCCATATGTCTCTATGAGCTATTATTACCTTTACTTCTCTTACAAACATAAGCCCCCATGCTAGAAATACTGTGGTACCTTTTTTTTGGATGGCGAGAAAATAGTACCGTGAAGGCAAATCTTACCCAGCAGCAGTAACCACCTAAGGATAGGCAATTTTCAGTTGGCTTTTCAGAAGCTGGTTGCCATGACAAAGAGCACAATTTATTCCTCAGTTCCTTATCATAGCTACAGATCACAGACCATAAAAATTAACAAGGCTCTTTTCCTTTTCCTGATGATTTCAGAGTTCCTCATCCTTACCTGAGGTCTTTTGTTCCCCCAATTAAATGGAATGAATGTCAGTCATCTAGCAATTCAATTAATGCTGATTCAAAATTCTGGCCCAACCAGAATCTATAATCACAACCTCCTAATCACAGCTCAGTCATGAGAATGAAAAGTAAGTAGGAAATTGCACTAATTACTCAATTAGACTAATACTGTATTTCAAGCAAGGGCTTAAGGAGCTGTCAGCTCTGACAAAGGACCATGGAGTCGTCCTCACCTGTGTGCCCTCAGTGGCCCACCCGAAGCTGATGTTTTCAAGTGACCATAATCTCTACCCATCTAAGGTGGGTGGACCAGGGCTGGGTCATGGAAATTCATAACTGACACACTGACGAGGGACAGCTCCGGGGGCCTGGTGGTTCTCCACGGCACTGTGTGTGGACGGAGCTGTGGGAGGGCCGTGCCCCGTGGAAGGCAGCTGAGCACATGTCATCACCGGTGCTGGCTCCAGGAAACATCTGGGAGGAGGCCACTCAGGAGGTGTGAGAGCTGCTCTACTGCATCTTAAAACTGAGTGATGCTCGCAGGTACCAGCCTCCAAACTCACGACAGAGCCTGTTTCGTGGGCCGGGAAGAGCACCGTGGCTGGTGGGCCCACACCTGGGGGGCTCTGGGGAGGCTGAACGCGAAGAATCACCCGCACCCCCAGGGCCAGCTTCTCAGGCCGCAAAGCCTACCTGGAGAACCTTCGCGACACCAAGAACGTGAGTGAAAAAGAACTGGCTGGGAAGAACACACCAGATGTGATCAAAGTACTTACAAAACAACAGGATACAGACCAAAACAAGCTGGACCTTATTAAAAACATTAAAGCCCCTCTCCCCTCCCCAAATGAGCTCTTTTTCCCTACTCAGTTTCAGAGACGTAAACATCTTGGAGACAATAAGAGGACACTGGAGCCTTTCTGCCTCTGGTTTGTGTACAGAGCCTTCCCGAAGCGGACGTGGGAGAGGGGCTGGAAACAGGAAGAGGGAAGGGGGCCTATCACGCACGTCGTGGTCTTTCCTCTGCAGCAGTTGCCGAAAATGACCAACTGGGGAACTGCTCAGGGGTTCCGGAAGGAGAGAAACATTTATTTGACTAAGACAGACTAAGTCTTTACTTCCATGGTTTGCCTTGCAGGTGTCCGCTGCCTTGCGCGCGGGGGTTTGGGTGGCCGGCAGGGCCCCCGGTGGGCAGGTTCTGACCGCTGCGGATGCCTGGAACCTTGGAGTCTCTTCCGGAGGCATTGGCTTGACTCAGCCGGCCTGAGGGAGCAAGGGAGCAGGGAGCAGAGCTGCAAAAATGATCCCAGGGACAATCTGCCAAGTACACTTTTAAGCTAATGAAGCCTTATGCTACAACCATTTTTAAGCTAATAAAGTCCTATTCAGCATTTACTTAAGGCTAAAACCTACTGTTTATACTTGAGATCAACTTAAAGGTGGGGAAAGGGCAGGATGAAAGGAAACCCAGATAGCTTTTCTTTCTTCCTCTCCACTGTTCCCAGCCAACCTGGCCTGTCCGACCTTCCTTCCTGGTAGACAAGGGGGCAACAGAGACTAGAGGACAGAAGAGGAAGTAGTATGCAAAGGAAAGGTCAGAAGTGGTTTATATGTGCCTAGAAGCAACAGAAGGAAATGGAAACTTTCCAGGAAGGAATCCGAATGCCTTAGCTTAGCCTCAGCTCGGCCTGAGATACACACTTTGGCAAATTCTCTTCTTTTCTATGTCTGCACAATGCCTGATTCTCGCCACAATCGAGGATCACCTCCACTTGCACCCCCTCCCAAATATTCTAAGACTCTGAATATGTTATAAGAGATCACAAATCTCAAGCTCTACAGAAAACATTATCTCTAAAGGTCAAATATCTTACTGGGATTGTCTGCAGGACCCTGATCCTCTTCCAGGTAATATTCTATCTTTTTTAGATCTTCTGGGGTAAATCTCCACTTATTCTCAGCTGGCAGGGGTGGCACTTTGGGGCTGGATCGTTTCCGGGCAGAACCAGGAGGAAGGGCTTGCTGGCAAGACGCTGGCAGGGAACCCGTAATCAGGCCTTCTGGGAACTTCTGAGCTAAGACTTTGAGACCTAGGTGTGGAAGATCATAGAAAAAGCAGCATTAACATTGTGAGACCAATCCAAACCTGAAAAGGAGCCTGCATGTCTCCTAATCTTTGGTCTCCAAGTCGAGGCCAACACAAGGACGTGACATCTCTCTTAACTGCGTCACCATTAAGAAAATGTCACTTGTGATGTGGGATTCTGAGAATTCCACCAGAAAGCCTTTTGCTTGAGTCTTTAGCTCAAGGCTTTCTTGCAGACCTGATGCATGTCAGTAGTTCAGGAATGTAAAACGTGCTGATAAAGGTAACGGAGGTTCCACAGAACTCCTGCCTCCTGTCGGCCGGCATGGCTTCCTCTCCAGAACACAGGCTGCCCTTGTTTTATTGCACCACACTGCACGGCACTCACAGAGCAGACTCACTTTACTGCAATGCTTGCTTCGCTGTGGTGGTGGGCAATATCTCCGAGGTATGCCTTCACTACATTCCGACCCCTCCGAGGAGAAAGTGATGAAGTGGGGTTGAAGGATTGTGAGTCCAAATACCAGGCTTTTACGTCCTAAGCAGAAAACAGCCCTGCTCACCTCCTGAAAGCATGAAGAGGTTTTCAAATCCCCGCTCGCACATGGTGGTGGCCGCCTGGCTGGCCAGCCTCTCATCGTCGTCGTACAGAATGATGATCTTGCCGTGGGCATTTTTCTAAGAGTTAGACGAGTTAAGGTTTGACCACACTGAGTTAATGCTCCTGGGCTATAAGAAACCTCCAAGGAATAAAAAACTGGCAAAGTTCACCTTCCTCAGTTCAGGGGAGCGTAGAATGACCCCTCTCTTTAACCATCACACCAGCAGTTACTGGATTTCTTCCTGTCACAAAAACCACATGAACTGGGTTTGTTTGTTTTTTTATAAACTAATATGACCATGGTCCAAGACAGCACTAGTTATGCTATACATAACCTTTTAGTTCTGTTATCATCACAACCCTGGAAAGTAAGTATTACAAGCTCCATTCTACAGGCAAAGAAATAGAAAAACTTTTATGTTCAATATGTTCTAATGTAGCCTTGTTTATAACAGTAAAAAAAAAAAGAGAGAATAAAAGTACAATAGAGAGGAAAAGTTTGGTAAACTACAGTAAATCTGAAGAAATTCACACTGCATCAAAAATGGAATTTATAAAGTGTATGTTAGTGTAACAAATACACTGTATATCAAGTGGGGAAAAGTGAGATACTAAATTATATATACAGTATGCTTTCTATTTTGTTAAAACACACATAGAAGACAGTTTGGAATAAAATATACAAAATAGTAATGAGTTGTTCAAATGGGTGATTATCAAAGATTTCAATTATCTTTCTCACATATTTCAGTATTTAAATTATTTTCTACCTGTGTGATTTTTATGAGCAAAAAAATTTAAAATTTTAAGAAGAAAATTGACTGTGTAAGTTTCACTTTGGAAAGCTTCCTGGAGGAAAAAGTCTTAGGATTAACTTTTTAAAAAAAAGATTTTAAAATTGATTTTTATAGAGAAAGGAAGTGAGCGGGAGAGAGAGAGAAACATTAATGTGAGAGTGAAACATTGATCAGCTGCCTCCTGCACCCCCACAGGTACCTTCTGGTGCATGGGATGATGCCCAACCAAGTAAGCCACACTGACCAGGGCAGGACTAACTTAATGGATCCTAACCTTTAACCTGATGTTCTTTGGCCCAGTGCATTATGTCTTGGAAGCATCTGCCATCATAGTCAGCATACTCAGTAACAGCTAAGAGTCCAAATTCTAAAGTAAGCTAAGAAAGCTAGTCATTATAGAAAGTCCTTCACACACTGCTTCTCAGCCTGTTGGCTAAGATCAAGTGTAGTATTAAAAGTCCTTCACAGAGTTTTCCTACTAGGATCATGATTCATAAGTTTGATTCTTACGATCCTCATCATCACCCAACTCCTTAAAACGCAACAAAGGATACATATTCAAGAATATCATTTGAATAAGGGTTCATTGTTCTAGACAGAGTTGCAATTGGGTAACTGTAGGCTGCAAAGAAAGGACAATTAGGAAGTTTGTAGTTCACTTAGTATAACTTGGTGCCACTCCCTGGTTGGTTTAAAGTCTAACTAAGAGTTAAAAGAAATACATTTTCAAAATCAACAAGGCATAAACCTAAATACTTTTGTGCAAGAAAAGAAACAGGACACTATAAATAATAATATAAAGCTTCACTTGCGTGTTTTTGACAGTTAGCACTGGGCCCCTGAGCCATCTGAGGGTATCACCAGACTGTCTCAGATCACTATGGTAAAGCCAACTCACAGGTTCCCACAATGGATCAGGCTAACATATGGTTCCTTAACTACTGACCGTGGGATGTGGTCCAGGAGGCCAGGATGCAAGAAGGGGCTGTGTTCCTGGGCGTGAGACACTATAAAGCCGCCTCTCTTACCTCCAACAATGTGGCACTGCTGGTAAGAATCTCTATCGCGCACATCTAGCAGCAGGAAGGGGCAGTCAGGATAAGGTTTGTCTTTGGTGTTGGGCTCCGCTTTCTTCACTAGCCCTTTGTCTAGATCCAGTTCCCCAACACCACTGATGACGCTGCAAGTGGAAAAGTAGGTCAGCAGAAACCAGTCAGGGCCTGATGGCTTAAAGGTCAAACGTGTTTCTTCAGAATAGCGAGAGCGTTCAGTGTCTTTTCAAAAGACCTTCAAAGAAAAACGGATCTAGTGTCTCAGTTCTGCCTCTGAATACAAGATCCTATGGATTCCTACTCTATCTCACTGGACCCCAAGGAGAGGATCCACAGGTCTATACTTACCTTCAGACAATGTGTTAGGTCATTAGCATGACTGAGGGGGTAGAAATGTAGGGTGCATGCTGCCTCCAGCAACAAGGGCAGCATGCAGGGAAAGAAAGAAAGGCGAATAATGAATCCAGTGGAATTTTGAAGGGCATAAGAAAGCAGAGCAAAAAGGGAAAGAATAAGGTTGACAGGACGGGAAAAATGAAGGTGTTTCTACGTGTATTATATGCAATATAAAATAACAACAGTGTTTTAATTTATTTATACAGTGACCTATCCAGTATGGATTTTGAACCTTAATGTTTTCAGTAGTTATCTGTACTTACTCTCATTTTATAGGTTACAATGTTGAGGTTGAAGAGGCTTTTATTTAAAATTTTTTCCATTGTTTTTTTTTTGGTAGAGTGGGGGTGGGGAGAGAGAGAGAAACATTGATGTGAGAGAGACACATCAATAGGCTGCCTCTCGCATGGCCCTGACTATGGCTGGGGATCGAATCTGAAACCAAGGTACATGCCCTTGACCGGGAATCAAACCCTTGACTATTTTGGTCTGCAGGCCGAGGCTCTAACTGCTGAGCCAAACTGGCCAGGGTTGAAGAGGCTTTTCGATTTGGTGATACTCATATAATCAGACACAGGAAAAGCTAGGATTAAAATGAGGGCGTTCACCACTGATGGTTCTATTTCTAAGGTCATAAAATCACTAAAATTGGTCACCATAGTAATATTATAGGCAAAATATGGTTCAAACATGATCAAAGGAATAAGAAGAGTAGGTGTTATGAACAAAATGGCAAGTAGTAAAATGTCTCTATTAGAAGACTTCTTTCCTAGGCAAATACGAAGACTTATACGCCAAACCACAGACTGGCATGTTGTACAGTTCCTCTCCCATCACAGCAAATCAAATTCTGCATTTAAATCTGATGCACGTTATCACTATATGCCACGCAGTGCATATTTTGTTGAACCAAAGGGAAAGAAACTCTACCCTCAATGAAGTTTCGTTGGTCTTTTTTTTAAATTAATTAATTAATTTTATCCTCACCTGAGGACATTTTTGCATTTATCTTCAGATAGAGAGGGAGGGAGAGAGAGAAACATCGATGTGAGAGAGACACATCGAGTGGCTACCACCCACACAACCCCAACCGGGCCAGGGACAAACAGCAACCGAGGTGCATGCCCGCAGAGGGAACCAAACCTGGGACTCTCTGGTCTGCAGGCTGACACTCTAACCACTCAGCGAACCGGCCAGGGCAGTCTATCTTGTTTTGAATGCAATTTTAGAGTCCTTGCACAAAAGTAGTTATAAAAATAATAACAGTGGTATAGACGATAGCGATCCGTTCACTAGTTGAACTGTTTTACCAGCAGAAGGGATGGGTATGTACTGAAAATCGGCACTGGTTTATAATCGACAGTTAGTATTTGTGAGAAAGTGTTGCGTCGCAGTGTGCGGAGTAAGGACCGGCCTCGTGCAGCCTGACAACCCACACCAAGGGCTGCTCTCACTCTTCTTTGCACCTGCTTAATGTCAGAGCACTGTGTGCGGCCCTCTGTTCTTCTGAGTCTAGTCAGGGTGACTACAAGCTGCAGCAGACAGAAAAGGTGGGGACAATCATGCTCTCTGAGTCAAAAGACAGTAGCTGTCAAGCTAGGTGCTAGCAGTGAACGTGCACAGGAAGGCCGAGAAGGTGGAGGTGAGGTGTGAAAATGACTGCTCTATCAGTACAGTCTTAACCGAGACGAGAGAGCTGTGAAGATTCAGGAGGTGGCATGTACATAAAGAGAAAGGAGAAGGCTGGGTGACAATGTGGGATTGCCAGTCTGTTTCGAAGGTAATTGAGTCACTGAAATTGGTCTCTAGACTGATACGAAGGTAAGAGGCAGTGAAAGCCCGGATCGGGTCCGAGTACCTTTGGAGCGTCGAGCGACTGGAGTCCCCTGCTCCCACGCTGTTGATGAACTGGACAGGGCTCGGCGACTGCTCACTGGGGCTCCCCTTCCCATTGGTCCTGGCAGTGCCTTCAGCATCAGGGTCTGAAGTCGCAGAATCATTGTCTAAAATTTGCAAATGAAGATATAAGTATATTTAACTGTAGAATTTGCATTTACTTGTCAGGCAGTGCCATTGAAATTAGGTCAAGAAAAGGAACTCCATCACCTTACTTAAACTGTTCTATCAATTCTACTGTATAGGTTCTCAAGATGTCGTCTGTGGACCCCAAGAGTCCCCAAGGCCTGTTCAGGGGACCTACAAGGTAAAAACTATTTTTATAATACTGCTGAGAAGTTGTTTATATTTTTTACTGTGCTGATATTGGCCCTGATGGTGCAGATGAGATGGGGGCAGAACTGCCAGTGCCTTAGCAGACAGAATGCCAGGGGAGTGGCGTGCAGTTTTATTACCAATCATTCTATTTTCAGCAACCCGCAGGCTCACTAAAAAGCGTCCCTGATGATGCAGTGATAATTAATGATTTTATTAAATCTTACCCTTACTCACACACCTTTTTAATATTCTGTGTGATGAAACGGGGAAGTGCATACCCGTTTCTGCATACCCAAGTACCAGGATTGTCTCAAGGAAAAGCATCAGTGTGTTAACTGCTGCTTTTGCCACGAACACCATTTTTACTTGGAAGAAAAACTATGGTTACTTAGTCTTGTGCATTCAGCAAACATTTTCCAAAAAAATAATCTCAGTGAAAAGTGAACTTATCATTTCCAGGAAAACAGCTGATGGTATTTGTTGCAGTGATTACATTTGGAATAAAAATCTTACTTTTGGAAACTATGTGCCATCAGGAGCTTGACTATTTCCCCATACTTAATGCCTTTTCTGATAAGAGAGGCAGTGAGATTGATAAATATGATTTTTAAAATACTGTGTAATGAAATTTGTCAACATTTGGAAGATCTTCATAACTCAGTGAGCCAATAATTTTCACATGACCAAGGCATGATGTTATAAAATCACACATGGATAAAAGAGTCGTTCAAAGCTCAGGACAGACCGATGAGTTTTAATGTAACAGAGGAGGAAAACTTCATTAATATGATTTCAAATTCCGCTTACAATTAATCTTTAGTCAGTTATCATTTTGGTGTCGTATCAAAGGAACATATCCACAATAACAGAAAGGGCTATTAAAACACTCCACCCTTTTACAACTACAAGTCTGCATGAGGCCAGATTTTCCTCACATGCTTCAACCCAAACAGCATATTGCAGCACACTGAATACGGAAGACAGGAGAATCAGCTGTCTTCTACTAAATCAGACATTAATGAGATTTACAAAAGAGTAAAACAATTCCATTCTCAGCAATTTGTTTGTTTTAGAAATATAGCTATTTTGCATAAAAATATGTTATTTATGTTTGTAATGGGTTTGGTATTGTTATTTTTAAGTGAAATAATAAGTAAATATTTTTACATTCTCAGTTTAAAATTTTCATACCCTAAAAATATTAATAGGTATAACTTACATAAACCAAAACTCTTTGAGGTACTCAATAATTTTTGTAGTGTGGAGGGAGACTGATACCAAAGGTTTGAGAATTTGCTGTTCTAACCAGTATAATTAGAGAAGAAATAGAAATGAGGTCTAAATTTGGATATGATATAATATACTGAGAAACTTCAAAAGAATCCTATAAAAATAAGAAAAATAAATATGTGGTTAGATAAAAATAAATAAATACTAACAAACAAAACATTTTTCCTATTTACCAATTAGAAAATAATATGAATATCTCATTTACAGTAACAATTACAGATATACAATATACTCTCCTGGAAAATACACCTATTAAGAAATGTAAAGGTCCTGCAAAAACGTTTAAGATCTTTATAGGTCTTATAAAAATTTTACTTAGGGACATTAAAGACCTGAATTAAAAGAATGACATACATTGAATATTCCTGACTGGAATACATTGAATATTCCATCATTTAACTTTTAGTTAATCTTTTTCAGATTTAATTTTTAGCCTTAATACAAATACCAATGGAATTTTTAAAAAGTTTAAAAGGATTTTAACTATAAGAAGAGAAAAACAAACACACATATATATAAATTTGGAGAACTTGACTCATCAAATAGTAACATATATTGACAAGGTAAATGATCAAAGCAATGCTGAACTGCAACCAGAATAATAGAATACAATGGAGAACACAGAAATGAATCCTAGAATATTATAAAAAGCTAATATTTGTTCAAGGTGGCATCACAGATCAATTGATAAAGGGAGAACTACTAAATAAGTGCTGCTGGACTCATCTGTCAACTATCTAGAAAAATTAAATTTTGATAACCCCTCCCTCACATCATATACCAAAATATATAACAGATGGATTGATATTTAAAAACAACAACAACAACAACAAACTACCAGAAGAAAATAAGTGAATAACTTATCTTATTTTGGAATTTATGAGTCTAGAACAATAATACAAAATAAAACATGAAAGGCTGATAGATTTAATCATGTAAAAATGCAAACTTCATGTATGTCAAAAAACAACACAAAGAAAATTAAAAGTGAAAAGCAAATTTGGAAAAAATACCTATAACATAAATGGATGAAAAAGGGTTAATATCATTAATTTGCAGAGTTTTAAAAAAAATTAACTAGCTCTTTAATTGATAAAAGGATCATGTGTACAAGGTAAAAATGCAGACAAGATAAATTAATGTGGAAAGGAAGCCTTATTCAATTCCAGACCTATGGCCCTCAGCCTCCTCCCCCAAGGGAACCAGCTTCACATATTCATGTCTCCATCCAGAAATAAAACAACTACCTACTTTTGCATATATTTTATTTCCTCTCCTATTTACATGTCCAGGAAAATGATATTCATACTGCTCTACACTTTGGTTTTTGTTTTGTTGTTTTATTTTTACTTAATAATACAGCTTGGAAATTGTTCCACATCATTAAGTAAAAAATTTTCTCATTTGTTTCCAAGGCTGTATTGATTTCCAAAGTAAAAAAATATACTTATATAGCGCTTTCATAAATCAATAAGTAAAAGATGAGCATTCCATTAGAAAAAAATGGGACTGTTATATCCTCAAAAGAAGAAATACGTATGACCAATAAACACACACACACACACACACCCCTCACTCTCACTGTCAGAGACCTTCAAAATAAAACCATTATATTCCATTCTTCATCTATCAAATTGGCAAATATTTACAAAAATGATAATTATTCAGCATTGGCTCGGATGGGGAGAAACATGTCTTCCCATTCACTCGGTGGGAATGCAGAGGGACAGAACCATTCAAGAGATCATGGAATCAGCACTGAGAGTCTCAAAAGGGATCTATCTACACTTTGTCCATCTATAGCGATTTATCTTCAGGAAATAATCAGAACCACACAAACACTCATGTATTTACATTGCAGCCTTATTTTATAAAAGTGAAAAATGAGAAAAACTGTAGTGTCCCAGCAATAGGAGAATGATTAAATAAATTATGGTATGTCCAATGGATAAGACAGTATATGACCACATGACCTTTACACTGAAGCTTTGGATGTCTATTTAATGACACAGGAAAGTATGCATGGTAAAATGTTAATTGAAAACAGCATAGTACAAAACTATATACAAAGAGTATGGATTTGGGTGGGAGTTAGGGGAAAATAGACCAAAATATTAACAGGGATTATTAGTTATTTTAATTTTCTTCTCTGTCACTCTCTCTCTCTCATTATACATATATATATATTTTTACATATATATATATATAAAACTATATATATATATAGTTTTCTAATTTTCTAAAAATATACTTTTAAGCCAGGAAGAAACAAAAGGAGATTTTGTAATCCTTCAAAGATAGCCAATATGCAAACAGATACAATCTGTTCCACAGGCATTCCTGAGTGAGTTATTATTCTGTGTAGAGCACTAGAAAAACACTAATATTACTCACACATTATGGTGTCCTATTTTACAAGAGCCTATTTTGCTGTGCAAATTCATCTCAGAAGAGAAAATTGCATGAGCCCATATGTCCTGGTGCTGCAATCTCTATAATGAATTAAAAGACCCAATCCAGGTACTTATATAACCAGGTTAAAATTGGGAGTATTTGTATGAGGAGACTCAATTATCTCTGTTACAAAGAGCCCTTCTTTCTCTGCTGTGTAAGAGGCATCTGTCAAAGATAAATTCCTGGCTTTTTGAGATTCTCTTTATCCTCGCTAACAAAAACAAGCCCAGGGAAATGACAGTTGAGTTGCACAAATCCAGTGTTCAGACTTCCTGAGAAACTTGTCTTGAAATCAGAAGTCAAATTCCTGGCCTACATCAACCTTAACAAAACACATTCCCCTTCAATAAACAGCCACGCATTGACCGGTGAATGCTTCAGGATAAAATAAAGACCTTAGCTCTGTGTATTCCTTTCATGAGAGTACAACTGAGAGGTTTTCTTTCGACTCGGTATTTAAGAAAGGCAATCTGGAGCCTACCTATCTGTCTGGCCTTATCTCCTAGCCGGCACCTACCCCCTCTCAGCCCACAGCCGGACTGGGTTACGTGATCCCCAGACACGCTGGGGGCCTTTCTTCTCCAGGCCTCTGCTCAGACTGCTCCTCAGCCAGCAGCAGCCTCACCCGGAAGGTCTAGTTCAAAGCCTTAAGAAAGCCTCCCTGTTTTCTAACTGGAAAACACCTTCCCTTCCTCAGAACTCCCACAGCAAAAACTCTGGTTGCTACGGGAGACACAGTTGTAGCCAGGTCCATTCCTTCCTGGCCTATCAGCTTCGGCAAGTCACTGGACCTCTGGGCTTGGGCTTCTCATCTGTAACGAGTACCTTCCTTGTAAAGTTTTTGAAAAAATTAAATGAGGAAAGTCAGGTGAAGTCCTAGCAATATACATGTATTCAACAAATGATGATTTCTTTCAGGCCTCCATGATGAATCCCTGCCGTGTCAGTGGTTTGGTTTCTGGTACTGTTCTCCTCACCCAACAGGCAAACGTGAACTCCGTGTAGCAGAGCAGGGTTTTATTCATCCTTGTTTTTTTTTTAATCCTCACCCGAGGACATTTTTGCATTTGTCTTCAGATAGAGTGGGAGGGAGAGAGGGAGAGAAACTTCGATGTGAGAGAGACACATCGGGTGGCTGCCACCCACACGACCCCAACTGGGGCCGGGGACAAACCGCAACCGAGGTACGTGCCCTTAGCGGGAACCGAACCCGGGTCTCTCTGGTCTGTATATACATAGAAAACACTAAAAATACTTGATGAAAAAAGTATTTAGTATATTAAACACATTTAAAACTACAAATGCTAAAGCCAGAAACCCAGATGGCTTTTTTAAAGCAATAAGAATGAACAATTAAAGCACCAGACAGCATTTCTCAGAGAGTAACAATCTAATTACAAACAGGGACATCGAAGTCCCAAGTCGCTGTGAACACAGCAGCCGAGGCCAGTGCTTCAGTCACACGTCAGTCTGCTCCTTTCCCGCAGCCTCAATTCTCATTACCTTCCAGCCTTTGAATCTCCTCAGCCGTCACTTCAAGCGTTTGATCAGACAAGGAAGCAACCTGGATGACCTGAGAGAAGAAGGAACGAAATGTGTGGAAGTGCGTATGTTTGTTTGTCTTTAAACAGAGACAGGGACCATCAAAGATCTCGTTTTAAGAAATTGTCTGTCCTCAACTAGAGACTAAATCTCAGGTCCCCTTACTCTTGGAGTGGTAATTACATTGCAGACGGTCGTTCCAGAAGAAAAGATTCATTTAAAACATTACACAATAAACTTAAAAGGCCAAAAGGATAATTTAGGACAATAAACATGAGTAAGAGTTTAAAACTGCATCCATATATATTCTAGTCCCAACATAACGCTATTTCTTGAAAATGTAATACTTACAATAATAGAATTATATCAGCAATTCTTCATGCAAGAAATAAATAAATGTGATTTTGAGTATACGGATTATAACACTGTATACCCACATATAGTTTTTGAAGCACTTTTTTTTTTTCCTTTATTGAGTTTTAGAGAGAGAGGAAGAGAGAGGGAGAGAGAGAAATATCAATGAGAGAGAGCATCAACTGGCCGCCTCCTGCATGCCCCCCACCAGGGATTGGGCCCACAATCTGGGCATGTGCCCTGATTGGGAATCGAACTGGTGACCCCTTGGTGCATGGGTCAACACTCACCCACTCAGCCACACCAGCCAGGCTGAAGCACTTTTTACAACTTAGCTCATAAGACACAAGATCCATCTTGGGTTACATCAATGGAACTCGTTTGGGGGCCAGAGACACTTGGTCCGTAATTTTCAAATGAAAGAAGAAAGTGACTTTTGCCAAAGTAACAAAATAGCCCAAGAAAGACTTGGAAAAAGAACTCAGTCATAGAAGGGCGATCACCTGGTTTATATAAAGAAAAACGTCCAATCACAAGTCCAGAATTCTAGATTCTAAATATTAAATTAAATGGACAAGGAGAAAAAAAAAAAACATTAACCACAAATTTGATAATTTAAATGTAGAATTCATGTTTTTGTAAAATTCTTATTAAAAAAGAGAAAAATTCTACACCGTCCTGGAATGAACACACACACACCATATACCAATTAATTCTCCCATAGGTGAAATACAAAGAATCAGAAGAAACCTTTGCAATTACCTAGAGTCAAATTCAGAGATATTCACATAAAGCAGCACAAATTAGACAATCTTTACTCCAATGGAAGATCATTAAACTTACCAGCTGGGCAAAGGTTGTAACTTTTAGTCTCTTGAAGAGCTCATCTTTTTTGTACCTATAATCTGAAAAGCAGGAAAGGACAAATATTTTTCTAGGTTTATTTTGCTTTCTTGGAGGTATTAATTCTTTCTAATCATCAAGTTATATGGTGTATATTTCTCATTATTTACATGCTTTTACATGCATTACCGTCATTTGATCCTCACGATATCCTTTTGCCCCTTTGCTTGGGCCACTAGAAAGCCTAGAGTTGAATATATAAGCCATCTCTGTGTCTAGAGACTTTATCCCTTGCTTTTATTTTATTAGCCTACCATTTCCCTTTTACTATGCTATCTCTACTTTGATCACATTGTACCACATTTTTGTAAGCTGCTTCAAATCCTTTTCAGAACAAAGGGACATAATTCTGCATTTTATAAACAAGGACAGAGATCCAGGAGCTGAGTGGCCCCGGGTCAGGCAGCTGGTAAGATATTTACACCCTGCTATTCTAACCCTGCCTTGAAAGGAGAACAATTATATTCCGGAGGATACACACTATGCTGAGATACAGGACAGCACTCTCTTCCCCCGGGGGTACAGTGCTGGGCACAAAGTTATGACTGGCCATGGTGATCTTTTGTTGTCAGTTTCTCTTCAACTCCACTTCAATAAAAAGCAACCTATTCAGTTTTGCAAGATGAAAAAGTTCTGGAGATCTGTTGTACAACAGTGTGAATATACTTAACACTACTGAACTGCACACTTAAAAATGGTTAAGATAGTACATTTTATGGTATGTGTTTTTTATAATTAAAAAAAATTCAAAATCAACCTAAAATATCAATATTTTTTCAGAGTTATCTTTACAGATGACTCCTCCAGTGAGGGTACTTCTGTAATTGTGTTAATAATTCTTCACATCACATTAAAGTTTTTTTAAATTTAGCCAGTCTCACTTTGTCTAATTTCTGTCTCATAGAGACATGTTAAAAGTTAGCTTCCTTAAACTTTTCTGAAAATGACGGCCAATTCTGAAGTTTTCAGCATTGAATTCCCTCCCACTCTCACCCTTTACTCCTCTTCCAAGTTTTTATATTGGAGCCCATGACTTGTTAAAGACTGTTTCATTATTTCAGAATTACTAAGGTCAGCTGGATAATTACTATGGCCGTCACAGCATAAATGTCTCATAAGCCAAGACTCCTAGCAACAAAGGAAAGGATTAAGGTATTTAAGACTGTTTACCTGGTGTACTAATCATTTCTAAGAATTTTCCAAAAAAACCAGCACAGACCGGATAGTTACTTCAGAGGTTAATGTTTGCTTGATTTACCCAACACTTGACAACTTAGAGTCAGGAAATGCTAATTAACTTAAAACTGGCCTTTGTAAATATATCAAGACTCTTTCTTACAGGGAATTGATAAAGTTTCTCTGTTCTAAAATGTCTTAAAGAGAGCAATTTGGCTAATAACTGACCACTACTTCTTTCTAGAAAATTCTTAGAACAGCTTCTTCTGGATACAACAAGGTAACAAACCTAGATGCAAACACGCTTCTGAAACCCTTCAGGATGCAGACCCCAACTGGCTGAGCACAAACTGAACTGCCACCAACCTGTCCACCAAAAGTCATTTATTTAAATCAAAATGGCAATAAATCAACCAAAGATAACAGCCTATAGCTTTCAAAGTAGTTTGTACTGTGCCATTTATCCATGGATATTCCTTTGGTATAGTTACAGAATTTGAAACACTTCTCCAACTCTTCACATTCTAAGTACCAAATGTACACATCAAAATCCCCTTTAACTAAGCAGAAATGACCTCACACAAAACCCGGCTCCGCTACATTCTAATGATTGACACTTCTTGTGTTCTCTCGCAAGCACTAGAAACCCAGCTGCTCATTGAGCCTGAACTCGACATACCTGGTTCTGGTTTAGAAGGACAGCCATCGTTAGGACTTTCTGACATTATTACTCAGAGATAAAAAAAGATCAAACTAGACGTTGACAGTCAGTTTTAAGGTTTATAAAAAAGGACGGCTTGGAAAGCGGTCAGTCTGTCCTTGCAAGAGCGAACAGAGCTTTAAGAATGGAGCTTCTGCTACTGTAGCTTCTCCAAACTCTGCGATGAAGACAATTAACCCTAGTTTCAGATATGCTATCAAGTTTTGCTTCTCCAGTAAGTCTGGAGTCTCAGTCTGTCTCTCTCGAGTTACTGGAAGGACAGAGACCTAACTATCTAGGATGTTTCACACTGGGTCCAACTAGTGTCAACTAACCACCAGAAGCCAAGAATAGGCTTTGTAAATGGTCAATAGACACAGAGTGTCTGTTTTCCCTAGGCAGGGTTGAAAGAATATTCAGATTACAAAGGAATTCTGCGTTTTCAGGGTTCTGTTAAAACACGTTATTAGCAAAGGGAAGTTGGGTTCACAGTGGAAGACAAATCAAAGGAAGTAACAGAACAAGGTTTGTGATTTCACAGAAAGACATGGCATCTAAGGTAATCCGAGAAAAGTGATAGGCCTAGGGTGTCATGAAACAAGGCAATATTCTCCTCCCTTTGACCCAAAAGAACACCTCCAACAGAAAATGGGAAAAGAGAAGGAACTACCGTCCAAAATGTAGATCCCAACCAGAATCTAAAGTAATTCTATTCAGGGAATCAGCACAGTGTGTGAAACCAGGTGAGAGGAACCTCCTGTCTTACTAAAGGAAGCCCATAACTTCTAAAGAGGAAAGCATTTTCAAGGACTCTATTCCAGAGTTATTTCTTTGGGGAGATAAGCTCCATTTAAAGTTTAGATATTAAATAAACCACATTGTGCGTTTAAGAAATGTTTTAAACAGGGTTTCAGCAATCTGGGCACAACGAGACCTTTTTAGGGCACACATTTTGGTGTGGACATGTGAGCTTTTATACTCAGCTACAAATGGATGGGAGGGGAAAGAGACTACACACCAATTTGAAGCAGGCCAGCTGAGTTTTCCTGCCATGGATGAACTAAGGACAACAATAATGCAGCCTAGGTAAGTAAACAAGACTTTCTTCATAGTTTAAAATTTTAATATATCCTTAAAATATATACTTATGCAATATAATGTATAAAATATAACAGAGACTATAGAAGAAGAAAAGAAAAGGCTACTGTGACATTACACATTAGAAAACGAATGTCTACAACATTAGCCCTTACAGCTCAGCGAAGCAAACAGCAGAGTCAGCAAAAAGCTGCTCCCGAGTCCACATCTACTATCTGGGGTTTCTCAGCAATTCAAAAGGAACAGAAACATTACCATTTAAATTAAAAGGCCTGCTCTGTAAAAACAAAAAGTTCTCGTGAATTCTGGATTTGTAGTAATCTCTTCCCAGAAGATGTATATTTCCAGAGCCAAGTTCTGAACTGTTATCTCAGTCCCTCTTTACTAGCATTAGCTGAATACCCCCCTAGCACTGTGTTCTCCTACTGAAGATATAAGCAAATCCATCTTAGAAAATAGATGTTTCTGCTGCTTCTTTAATTCTGGCCTTGATGTGTACATTTTACATCTGTTTTGGACACAGACTGAAAAATGATGATTCTGTGCAAGAGCAAATACACTCAATGACGAGTAGCATATCTTTGTAGCAGATTCGTTTTTAAAAAGAATGTGCATGAAATATGATTTTTAATTAAAAGAAAGCAGACTGCAATGAATTTATAATATATAACATCACTTTAAGAATAAGCTCTTTCTCACATCTCTAAGGCTTTCATGAGTACTAATTCATACTCACAAGAATGTTATGAAATAAGATACTACTCCTACCTCAGGCAGAGAGAAAACAAGAAAATAGGAAAGAGTAAGTACCTTGAAAAAGGCCACAAAGACTGCAGTACAATGAAACTAGAAGTTCAGGTCCTCACTGTTCATTCTACATTCTAACATTGACATCTCCTATGGGGTCCAAGTCAGGCACAACTCAACCTGCAAGCCATAACACGAGCAGCTAACCGGGACGGGACATGTTTCCCACATCTGTTTGGCCCCCTGCCGGGCTCAGTGGACTTCCATAGCTCTCTGTGTGTGTCGGCTGTAGAGTATGTTTAGGGTTGTTAATAACCAACTTACAGAACTACTACAGGCTTCCACTATGCCAACCCATGAATAGCGTTACTCACTTTTTTTGATCTCTTCTAGTTTCTCAATGTATTTAGTCATACTGTTACCTAAAAAGAGAATAAGGATTTTAGACATGTTTTTAATGGAAGGATATTAGTAACACTGTGAAAACAGAATGGAGTACAAGTATTCTCTAAGCCTTCCTATCCCGTTCTTACAGAATTATAGGAGCCACACATAGTAATACTCTTTTTTGGATTCTACAGCATCATTAAAAGATGAGGAATCATGGGAAATGTTTTGGTCAAATGTATTAAGTTGGGGTGCACACCCAATAAACATTAAGAAGTCCCAGGCAATGTAATTTTTTTCCTTTTTGAGTTAAGGCTTTCTTCCTCCTTTTTATCTCCCCATAATCTTCTTGTGGGAAAGATATGGAGAGGAAGAGAAAGAAGCAATGATCTTCAAAAGTCTAAAATGTGCCAATGTGTCTACCCAAGCAACCCTTTCCCCTCTGCTTAGTCTTGTGGTTTCCCTCTTTTCTAAACTTGGCCTTCTACTATTTGTGCTGATGTTGCAGCCTGAACTAGACCACACAGTCTGTACACAGGATTCACCGTGGATTTGATTTGCTGAGAAATAACAGCAGATTCCCACACTGTGGAGAGTCCCCAGCCCTCATGTTTTATAGCCTGGTTCTACAATACTAGGTTCCAGCCAAGGCGGGTTGGAGAGTATTTCATACATTAAAACTGGGCCAGGATCATTCTGGTTTCTGAATGAATTACAGTCTAGTTCTCAAGCCAGGAGTGATTATTTTTTACTGGACATGCTTTAATTTGATTCAAGTCAACACTGCAAGCTCTATTTGGCACCTAAAAGGTATAGCAAAGAGGGAAAACATTCAAAATAATTTCTCATTTCCAAAATTGTGCTCCTAACTTTTAAGCCTTGAGAGGAGCTAGTCAAATTCACTCCCAACTTCAGGAAAAAAAAAAAAAATGCTTTCAATTAATGGCATGAAGTGCTGTTTTTAAGGATTACTCTGAATTTTTCTTTATGTTTAAGTCAGAAGCACAGAAATAAAAGTCTTGCTCTGAAACCCAAAATATATTTTCAAAAACAACTTATGTCATTTGTTATCATTACATCTTTACCATAAATTCATCATGGAGTGAAATTTCACTGAGTTAAACATTTGTTTTTTCATCTGAAAACACACACTCTCTGGGATCCGGACTCAGTGTATAGTCCCAGAGCCAGAATTCACGCTTCCAAAAGCTCAGACATAACTGCCTGAGCCTCTCAGAAGAGACACTGAGGATGTCTCAGAAGTGGTCCACGTAGCACCAAAGACCAGGATTAGAACCAAATATGATCTTTTCTAGGTTCTTCAGGCTGGAACTGACTCAAGATGTGACCAGATCTCCAGAGTGGAAACCATGAATTTTCCAGACACACACCCCTCTCCCCTGCAACTCTGAACTCAGGTGGGGACATGGGGTGGTCAGTGCAGCAGGGGAAGAAGACAGGGACAGCAGGGTACTGTGTAGCACCCACAATCTTATTCTTAAACTACTCTACGTTACAGCATTTGGTTATATGTTCCTGAGTCCCCGCAGTCACGTGTTGTTGACGTGGCAGTGTCTTTGCCTAGGGCGGCTTCAGACAGTCTCATCAGAATACTGAGGTACCAAAAACGATTACTGACTTGTCCACCAACACAGCAGGGAATAACTAAACCAGGATCCATATTCCCAACCTCCTGGTTTCTAAAGTGGCTCACAGAAACTCACTGCTTCTCTACTTGTGCTGCTTTAAAAACGTGATTTCACCATGAGGTAAATATGTAGGAAGTGTTACTTAACAGTAGCAGGTGGGAAGCATTTTATGCTCTGAATTCCCCGACGCATACTATGCATAGAAAACAACAGCCGACCTCGTAATACAGTCTTTATTCTTAGAACGTTGTATTTCCATTAACAAAGCATCTAAAATCCATTTCTCAATCAATTATCAACGTTTTCAGAGTATTTACACAGCAGTTCATTCTTGAACCACCAGGGCCTCACAAGAAGCGGTCACTCGGTTTGTTTGTCTCTCCCCTGGAGGAGAAGGCAGGGAAACAAAGTCTTTTGCACAGGTGTACAAAGGATTTGGCAAAATTAAGAACAAATATAAGAGGGCTATTGATAAGAAGCTGTTTTCACTAAAGATATTCATTCTATTCAAGTAGAAAGAGAGAGAGAAAATGGAGGGTTTCTATATTGTTCCAGTTGGAGAAATGACACAGCAGGATGGCTGACTAAGCAACACAAAATTCTCTAAAAGTGATTTTAGAAAGTATGAAAAGTAGTATTCTACCCCACTTCGTATAATGTTTACATCATAACTAAGCAGCTTATTGTACCAGATCTAATTTAATCTGAAAATAGTTTTTTGACTACCTTTTAAAGAGACTAGAAACCATTCTATAATTGACTAACTTATAAATACATCTGTTTTATACAAAAGCAAGGAGCCTAAAGGACTATCAGTTTTTTAAAAATTAAAATTACACATTTATTGTGAGATAAATTTTCCTAGACAGGACTTTGATTTAAAAAAAAAAGTCAGTGGCTCCCCGTGCTTCCTGGCTAAAATTTAACTCCGTGCTTAGTGCTGAAGGCACCACGTCTCACCCACCTCTTCAGTCTTGCCTTACTGCCTGAACTTGACAAAATCTCTGTTAGTCCTGGGTTCTCTGACATGTCACCTTGTCCATGTAATTATAATAGCTCACCCAGCTGGGAGTGACCTTTCCATCCCCTGAACTTTCACAGCGCTTGGCTTACCACTCACAGGCATTCACCACTGCACTGCCTCATTTGTGTGCAAGTCTTACCCACCCAAGACCATTTGCGCGCGCGCTCTCTCTCTCTCTCTCTCTCTCTCTCTCTCTCTCACACACACACACACACACACACACAATGCCTTCAGCTCTTCCACTGTCCAGCATGGGAGGCATTCAGAAATATTTGCTCAATGAAATATACTATGAAGATCTGCTACCTGAAGGATCCTCAGAGGGGGTTATTTTTGTAATGCGAATACTCATACCCCAATTTGGTTTGGGTTTTTGTACACTTGATTTTCTTTAAATGTATAACCTGATTTATATGCTATCTACATTATATACTACCTAGACAACCCATATTGTTTCAGGGGTCAGGTAACCTAGAAATGTGTAAGGTAGTATTTGGTTTCTACTTAGTTTATCACTTAAGTTGCAACAAAAGATATATAAAAAAACGTTTTACAGTTTGAATCATTAGAAAGAGACAATCCAAGCATATCAAGTGTTATGCAAAGACAGAGTACAGTCGATGAACTGAGTGACTTTTATTCAGTAGATTTTTTCCTTTCTTTTCCTATAATTTAATAACATTATTTGTACTAAGCCAGTATGAAAAGCAAGTGATTTTGAGCAGCAGTAATCTAAAGTAAGATTTATAAGGCACGGACTTGGTTGCTAAGAGACAACTCCATTGCTTTATTTTTCTTCAATATTCCCCTCCTCTATGGAGAAGTTCTTTTGGCTCGAAGGAGCAGGAAGCGTGAAAAGAAGCACAGTGGTCCTTTGTTAATCTCAATAAGTTATACGAGTGTATAGTGCTTTCGAGTTTGTAAAAGGCTTTCACATACGTTTCTTCCTTTGACATAAGAAACAGAATTAAATACTGAAAAAAATGAAGAGTACCTAGTCTGTAATGAGTTTGACTGCTAAAGATCAAGGCTATTAGCAAAAACTCAGGAAAAGGAAAGCCTAAAGAAAAAAGAAAACACTAGTTTGTGTGGCGATAATAAAAGTAAGGTGCATTAAAAAAAATAAGGCTAGAAAAGACTGAGTGGAGCCAGTCTACAGAATTTTAGAAAGCTAAAGAAATTTGAAATGAGACTGAACATAGAGTGAAATGAGAGGCTAATACAAGCAAAGAAAGCGTGTAGGAGACTAACAAAGGGAGAGCCCTGTGGTTTGGAAAGTGTTCCTTAATCAGCCTGCGGTGCTGCAGAACAGAAGCCAGAGAGGGTGCTTGAGAACACACGAGAACCCTGCAGAGGAAACGGAACAAAACGCTGCCAGGGATTGCATCAGAAGCACAGCCCATTCATGGCACAGTCTGGCAATGCTGGGGAGCTGGTAAGATACACTCAGGCACCTATGGGACAAAAGAAATATTTCAAGTTCAAAATAATTCTGATATTTCTAGCCATGGCTATATATTGGTGTTTGAGTTTATAAAACAAGTGGAATCAGAGGTATAGAAATAAAAAATAATCTTTACCCCAGGAAGAAGAAATCAGTCTTTGAAGAACTCAGTAGAAGGTGATTTGGGTGAAGACAGGAAATACCACGAAATTCTTGATTTCTTGTGATTAACTCTGAATTACTCACTGTTTGGTAAGAAAAGATTAAAGACCTGTCTATTTAGCCTAGATATGAGAAATGTTCACTCATTCCCGTGCCTATTTCTACTGGTCTGATGGCAGAGCTTAGAAACATACCACAGATGGAAACTCTTTACTCTCACTTGGGCTATAAGGTCACTCTTGTGTTTTCTTAACCTGGACTCCTCACCCTTTTAACCTTATGGCACACATATAAGTGATAATATCTGGACAGAACACAGGTTTGCATTGTCTCAGGCCTTGATGGCTACCTAGAGGGCTGAAGGGATCCGTATATCTTGGCATAAAACACACAGGCCACTATACTGAATGCGCAGGGAAGTAAGTCATAAAAATGCATAGAAAAAAACTAAAACAAAATCATTCCCCTAAATTGTCTTTAAAATAATTTAATTTGAAACAACAAAAGAAGATGAATACTAGAATAAGATTTCTCTCCCACACTGACTTAAGATAAACTTTGAGTTTTAAGCAATGAAGCACACTTTGGCCCTTCCAAAGCAATTAAAAACTAGTTTGGGAGACAATTACTTCCAGGAAGATGAGGTAGATGTATTTTTCTTTATTCCTCCAGCTAAGTACAACAAAAACCCTGGATGACCCACAAAATGGGAGAAAATATTTGCAAATCATATTTCTGACAAGGGTCTAGTATCCAGAGTATAGAAAAGAATTCTTATAACTCAACAAAAAAGAGAAAAATAACCCAATTTAAAAATGAGCCAATGGTTTAAACAGCCATTTCTCCATAGGAAATATACAAATGCCAATAAACACATGAACAAAATAAGCCCAAAGTAAGCAGAAGGAAGGAAATAATAAAGATAAAAGCAAAAATCAATGAAATTTAAAACAGAAAAGCAATAGAGAAAATTGATGAAACCAACAGCTGGTTCTTTGAAAGGATCAATAAAATAGACAAACTTGTAGTGAAGAAAAAAAAAAAGGGAAAAGACACAAATTACCAATGTCAGGAGTGAAACAGGCTACCACTTCAGACACTACAAGCATCAGAAGGGTAATGAGGGAACACTTAAACAACTCTACACACATAAATTTGAAAGCTGAGACAAATGTACTAATTCCTCAAAAAACACAAACTACCACAACTCACTCAATTATGAAACAAATAATTTGGATATCCCCATAACTATTAAACAACTTAATTCAAAATTTAAAAACTCTCAAAAAAGAAATCTCCAGGCTCAGATGGTTTTGCTGGAGAATTCTTCCAAATGTTTAAGATAAAATTAAAACCAATAATACGCAACTCTTGTAGAAAATGTTAACAGGAGCAAACATTTCCCAACTCAGTTTATGAGGCCACTGTTAACCCTGATACAAAAACCAGACAAAGACAATCAAACAAAACAAAACAAAAAAACTATAAACCAATGTCCCTCATGAATATAGACACAAAAACCTTTAACAAATAATAAATAGAATTTAGCAATACATAAGAATTATACACCATGACTAAGTGAGGTTTATTCCATGGATACAAAACTAGTATAATACTTGAAAACCCACTGTATTAACGAGTTAAAGGAAAAAAATCACATGATTATATTAATTGATACAGTAAAAGTGTTTAATAGAATTCAAATTATTATAAAATTATTCAAATTATTATCTCATTCATGATAGAAACTCTCAGAAAAACAGCAATAGGAGGAAACTTCCTCAACCTGATATAGCTAACATTATACTTAATGATGATTGTCTACATAGGAAAGTCCAAAGAATCTACCCAAAAAAACCCACCCCAAACCCCAAAAACCAAACACTTCCTGTACCTAAAAAGTTAGTTTAGCAAAGTCCAGGATACAAAATAAACATACAAAAATAAGCTGTATTTCTATATGCTAGCAATAAACACATAGACACCAACATTTAAAATATAGTATAATTGAAATGGATCAAAGAAGATCTAAATCAATGGAGAGACATAATATGTTAACAAATTGGAAGACTTGCCCTGGCTGATTTGGCTTAGCGGTTAGAACAGCCCTCAGACTGAAGGGTTGTAGGTTCGATTCCCAGCCCCCCTCAGGGTCGTGCAGGAGGCAACCAATTGATGTGTCTTTCTCACATCAATGTTTCTCTCTCTCTCTATCTCTCTCCCTCCCTGGCTCCCTTCCACTTTATCTAAAAATCAACAGAAAAATATCCTTGGGTGAGGATTAACAATAAACAAACAAACAAACTGGAAGACTCAACATAGTAAGATGTCAATTCTCCCCAAATGGATAGACAGATTTAATGCACCTACTGTCAAAATCATACTAATATTTTGTAGATGTAAATAAGATTATTCTAAAATTTATATGGGAAAGCAAAGGAATTAGGATAGCTAAAATAAGTTTGTAAAGAAAAGTAAAGTGGGAGGTAATCAGTCTAACCAAGTTTAAGTATCTAATTTATTATACAGCTACAGTAATCAAGACTGTGTGACGCTGGCAGAGGAATAGAGACATAGATCAACGGAACAGAATGGAGCACCCAGAAATAGGTCCACATAAATATGCCAAACTGGTTTTTGACAAAGGTAAACACACAATTCAATGGAGGAAAGGTCATCTTTTTAACAAATGGAGCCAGAGCAACTGAACATCCAATAAGCAACAGACATTTCATTGAAGATATACAGATGGCAAATAAGCACACGAAGAGATGTTCAACACCATTAGCCATTAGGGAAATGCAAATTATAACTACAATGATATGCCACTACATATCTATCAGAATGGTTAAAATAAAAAAATGGCCACACCACCACATAAATGCTGGTGATTGTGGAGAAACTGGATCACTCATACATTTCTGGTGAGAATATAAAATGGTCCAGCCATTCTGGAAAACAGTTTGGCAGTTTCTTTAAAAGACACAAATGCAACTACCATACAACCCAGCAATTGTACTTCTGGGCATTTATCCCAGAGAAATGAAGACTTATATTCACACAAAAATCTGTACATAAATGTAGAGAGCAACTTTATTTGTAACAGTCAAATGGTGGAGACAATCCAGATGTCCTTCAACAGGCAACTGGTCATACTGTATGTAGTATACCATGGTATAACTACTCAGTAATAAAAAGGAACAAACTATTAATACACACAACAACTTGGACAGATCTCCGGAGAATTGTGCTGAGCGAAGAAGCCAATGCAAAAAGTTGCATACTGTATGATTCCATTTATATACATTTGCAAAACGACAAAATTATAGAAATGTAGAACAGATTAGTGGTTGCCGGGGTTAGGGAGGGGGTGAGGGGTGGAAAGCGGATGAGGCTTTAAAAGAGCAGCCAGCATGAGGGATCCTTGTGGTGATGGAAATGTTCTGTATCTAGACTATATGTATTAATGTCAATATCATGGTTGTGATTTTGCAGTATCACTTCTCAAGATGTTACCATGGAAAACTGGGTAAAGGGTACCCAGTTTTCTCTGTGTCATTTCTTTCTTTCTTTTTTTTTTTGTGGTACATGCCCCTCGCGGGAACTGAACCCGGGACTCTCTGGTCCACAGGCCGACGTTCAACTGCTGAGCCAAACTGGCCAGGGCTCTCTCCGTATCATTTCTAACAATTCCATATGAATCTGTAATAACCTCAAAATAAAAAAGTTTAATTAGCAAAACATTAGTTTAAAAATCTCAGGATACAGGTAATTACTATGCATTATAAAAAGAAGATACAAGTACCTCAATTTAAAAAACTGAAATTAATTTCAGGTACCATTATATTGCGTCAAACATTGGTTATGAATTGAGAAACTGAAGAGAAAGAAATAGATTTTCATTCACAAATCCCAATTCAGTTTCCTGGAGACAAAAATATGAAGCTATAGACAAATCTATATATTTGAAAAAACCTTCAGGTCTTAAAAATTCTCCTTTTAAGCAGATTCCAAAATAAATGCACTCCTTTATACTAGTCTTTAAAATGGATTCCTCAGCCCTGGCCGGTTTGGCTCAGCGGTTAGAGCGTCGGCCTGCGGTCCGGAGAGACCCGGGTTCGGGTCCCGCTAAGGGCACGTACTTCGGTTGCAGTTTGTCCCCGGCCCTGGTTGGTCGTGCGGGTGGCAGCCATTCGATGTGTCCCTTCACATCGATGTTTCTCACTCTCTCCCCCTTCCTCTCTCTCCCTCCCACTCTATCTGTACAAAAAATGGAAAAATATCCTCGGGTGAGGATAAAAAAAAATAAAAATAAAAATAAAATGGATTCCTCAGAGAAAATATGGCATTTTTCATCAAGTGCTTCCCTCACAGAATAGCTTATTCCAGAAGGGTGGGTCATTGTTGCAATTAAGGGGGACAGAGGTAGAGTTGGATGAGTTGAAGGCATTTGTGGTAGATTTGGCTGGGGAAATATTAGGATAGTACACAGGACTGAGACAGTACACAGGACTTTGCACCCAGGTCTCCAACATCGACTTCCTAATCCTGCATACAAATCCCTGTTCTATCTCCTTTACTGAACTTTAAGTAAATCACATAAACTCTGTGCCACAATTTCCTCCTTCTCAATAACAGATAATATTTTTTACCTCCCATCAAACAGGATATTTGCAAGGAAATATCTGTACAGCACAGAAATGTTTAAAAGAAAAATCCCCAGAAATTGTATTTACAAATGGGTTCATTTAAAGCATTTAAGTCTATTTTATATGAGGAAACATGTATAGTGGGAGATAATGATTTTGAAAGAGGCTGGAGAAAGGCAAAGACAAAATGAATGAGATTTAAACAAAGTCAACATCCCAATTTATTTTCTCAGTTGTCTTCAGGTTACTGGTGGAATGTTCAGTATTGCAAAGGCATGCAGTACCCCAATCTACTAGCAAAACCATCTTAATAGGATGGATTTTCCACAGCAGGCTTTAAAAGTTTGAAAAAAACTAAACAAATAAACAACCAAAATCTCACAAGGCTGCAAATCCACTAGGGGCCTGGTGAAAAATGTTAACAGCATGGAAATAAGCAGTAATGCACTCAAATTTCATTTTACCTGAATTGCAGCACTAATTTAATTTTGTATGGTATTTCAGTTACTCATTCAAGTCTGTCTGCCTCCACTTGAATCTAGGTTCTTTGATTGCAAAAATCACGATTCACACTCATCTTTATAGTCCCAAAGGCCATAACTTTGCATGGCCTCTGCAAACACCAAGTTGAACAAACGTACACAAGTATAATCTATTACTCCCAATTTAATGAAATATACTCGAGGTATCCCCAAATAGAAGTTGACCACTTGATATTTATTAGCCTTAGCCCAGCAACTTACTGAACAATGTTTTCATCAATTTCTCAATTTATAATAAGCTAATTATATAAATGGAAATTTTAACTGGTAATCTGAAAAACAGGTTTCAAAGATAAGTAAGTCCCTGAACCCAGAAAGACATCAAACAAACAGTGAGAAACTTTTAACTGCTTTTTGTCAATAATTAGCAATTGCATTTTTTAAAAAGTTTTAATTTTCCAATCTTTACTCACCGGTGTCCAGTCTTGACTTGACATGCTGATACCTTGGGTTTTGTGGTATCCTTTTGGTCAGATACTAAAAAAAATTTAAATTCACAATTAATTGGGTTAATGTAAGGATAAGGGGAGCAAAGTGAGGACAGAGTCAGATACTTAAAAAACAGAAAGCTAAAATTTCACCAAATTTAAAGATGGAAAGAGTTCAAGAGGTCCAACCATCCATTCAAACATAGGACTATTTGCTATAGCATCTCTGCAAGGGAAGATGATTGTCTTGTTTCTGTCAAAGCATTTCCATATTTTGTCAAAATAATCTCATAGAAGTATATAAAAAAAGGATTAGGAAAAAAAGCTCTTAAAAATTATTTCCTACACTGAGCCAAAATTGGTCACTAATTTCTTTTTTTTTTTTTTTTTTATCCTCACCAGAGGACATTTTTTGTTCAGGTAGAGTGGGAGGGAGAGAGAGGAAGAGAGAGAGAGAAAGAGAAACATCGATGTGAAAGGGACACATCGAGTGGCTGCCACCCGCACGACCAACCAGGGCCGGGGACAAACTGCAACCAAGGTACATGCCCTTAGCGGGAACCGAACCCGGGTCTCTCGGGACCGCAGGCTGATGCTCTAACCGCTGAGCCAAACCAGCCAGGGCTGGTCACTAATTTCTATCCAGTCCACTGCTGCAACCCAGAATAAGCCACCCTACTCTGTCTCAAGAAATCAGTTAAAATAACTAAAGGCAGCTCTCGTTCTTTTTTCCCCCTCCTTTATTGATTTTAGAGAGAGAGAAAGTAAGAGAAAGAGAGAGAGAGAGAGAAACGATGAGAGAGAACATCGATTGGCCCAGTGGGGGACCTCCTGCATGTCCCCCCACTGGCGACTGAGCCCACAACCTGGGCATGTGCCCTAACCAAGAATCGAACCTCTTGGTGCATGAGTCAACACTCAACTGAACCACAAAGGCTAGACAACTCTCGTTCTTTTTAATGTTGCTCTTTGTATGATGGTTTGTAAGCCATCCTCTGGAGACCCTCTAGATTTTATCCACATCTCCCCTAAAAAAGTGGCATGGGGATCCAGACCTGAGCAGTGCCCAGATGTTGTCAGGACAGGCCCTGGTTTGCCAGGCCTCTCCACTGCTTGTCTGGAGTCTGAGGCTCCACAGATGTCACTATGATGGCATCTGTTCTTGGCGTACCTGGGGCACACCACGGGCTCAGGGTGGGTTTATGCTCAGCAAAATTGCCTATCTTGAGTCTCCCTTGTCCTGTACTTTAGCTGTGAACTTTGAATCCAAGCTCAATATTCAATTTTCAAAAGTCATTAAGTGAGGGAAGGTTAATGAATCAAGACATTACAAAACATAGCTTTCTTGCTCAGGTTATTTTCTGGTCTACAGTATGAAAACCATATGTTCAGTCACAGGTAGCTGCGGAATGTGAAATTAAACCTGGGTAATACCTTTCCAGCTTCATCTTCTGCCACTCACCCAATGTTCCCAGGTTGAAGTTGCCTGAATGTTCCTCAGAATGTGCCACATTCATTCAGGTCTGCCTAGAATGCCTGTTCTCAACTTGTCCTTGGACAAAACTTCACTTCCTCTATAAGCTGTCCGGGTGAACAAAACTTCACTTCCTCTATAAGCTGTCCGGGTGAAATTAGGCGCTTTCTTTTCTCCCTGGCCACTAGAATGTGGACACCCTGGACCACTGTTGACACCTCTACCTTCTTCTCTAGGCTAGGGTTTCCTTGAAGGCAGGGACAATAACTTACTCAAATCTGTATCCACTCAGGATTTAGTACTTTGTAGGTATCTTTATTGATATTCAATCAATAAATGAATATCTAGAATGAGGACTATATTATAGCAACTACCTGGTGGTTTCTTAAATGAGGATATCAAACTTGAAAACCTGTCACTTGCCTTTGAAAACGTAGGTAACTACTCACAACTACCATCTGCTATTTTAATACCTAAAAAGAAAGAAAAAAACCCTCAAAATAAAAATATTGGTCCTTCAATATTATTTAAAAACTCATTGACATTACCTATGTTTCTCATTTCACCCCAGGTAATTAAAACCTTTGCCATAGATGCTTAGCATTGGTCCTCAGATGTGTTTGTGGGACCCCTGAGCTACTTTATCTTGAGAGAAAGGTTTCTCTCTCTGATCAGTAACCAGCTGTGTAGAAGAGAAAAGTGACTCTAATGTCAAATTCAACTCCTTCCTAAATGAAGATAGAGAAGATTCTTAAGTAAAAGAAAATACTAAAAAGGGGGACTTTTTAGGACAAGGTCCCCAGAGGAAGACAGTATCATAGCAAAACAAAACAAAACAACCAAAAAACGCAAACAAAAACCCAGGGAAAACATGTACCTGGTAAATTGAGTCAAGAAAAGCTAATACTAGAATTCAGTTATCTTAGGCTAGAAATTTCCTTTTTTTCTATTTTGCTCTTTGTAACCTTATAATTTCTATATGCTATTTCCTGTTTTTACTTTTGTTTTGTTTTTCCCATAGTTGCCTAGCAAAGCTTCTTTTGAAAAATTCCAGGCTAGTCTCTGCTGAACCAAGGGGATTTGTCCATACCTAAGCCAACATAGCTAAGAAGTGAGGGGGTCTCTGGGGACCAGGTGTGGTGGCAGTAGAATGATGGGGGGAGTGTGAACAGCTGCAGTCACTGAGCACTCCCGCCCCCGGTTTTCCCTTACATAGACTAATGAGAAATCCATATGCTAGGAAAATGTAGTGCTTCTTTCTCATTTTCCCATTTTGGTCCAACTTCTTGTTCCTGACTTTCTAGTACCAACCGCAACATAAAGTGATTTGTGCTCCACTCTAAGCAGAGCGCCGTAGGTTTTATGGAACTGCCATATTTTTTTCATTAAAATTCTTGCTTTGGGGTGACTGTTTCTTGACCTACTGACCAACTGGCTTTTTTTCAATTATATAAACAGGATGGGATGGTGGAAAGTAAAGGAACTGAAAAAGAAGCTGTTTCAAGGAAAACCATTTATTCAACAAAGCCTTATTGGGCGCCAACCATTCATTCAGTTGACATTTACTAGGTGCCTTCTAGGAGTAAGCCACTGTGCTGAGGACACAGAGGTTAAAAACAGTGTTAGCCAGCCAGCTCTCACTGGTGCTGGAGAGAAAGGCACGTGAGCAAACAGATGCCACACTGCATGATAAACAAGGAGGGGGAAGCAGAGGATGCATCAGGAGCATGTAAGACTGGCCCCTAATCCAGACCAAGAGTCAAGAACCGTTTCCTGAGGGTGAAATCTGAGGGCCGAGTTAGTCAGCCAAGCTAAAGGAGTAGTGAGTGGGAGCTACAGGGTAGACAGGGAAGCTGAGAAGGACCATGTCTGTGGTATTAGTACAGACCCTTTGAGCGCAACCATAGGGAGCAATATGGAGTCAAATGAGGTTGGAAAGACAGACAGAGGTAGATCATAAAGGGCACTGTATCCACGCTAAGAAACCAGGATGTTATCCTGTAGATAACTGGTTCTCAAACAAGGTCAATTTTTCTCCCCCTACCCCAGGGACAACTGTCAATGTTTGGAGACATTTTAGGTTGTCAGAACTAGGTGGTGGGTGGGCTACTGGCATCTAGTGAGTAGAGGCCAGAGATACTGCTAAACATCCTACAATGACAGGAAAGTCCTCACAACAAATTAGCTGGCCCAAAATGTCAGTGCTGAAGCTGAAAAACCCTAGTGTAGATGATGGGAAGTCATTGAAGACAGTTTGAGGAGTGATGAGATTATATTTCTGTTTTAGAAAGATCACCCTGGCAGCACTCTGGAGAACTAATAGCATCACAGTCAAGAATGGATGCACAAAAATCAGTTGCGAGGCGGTTGTGCTGAGATCTGAGATCCTAAGGAAGTAGTAGTAGACATGGGGAGGAAGAGACAGTTTCAAGAAATCTTTAAGATATAAAATCAATATGATTTCAAACTAACTAGTGTAACAGGGGGAGGACAGTGATACCATTCTCCCCCAAAAGGGACTTAAGGAGAGCATATATTGAAAAACACGACGCGCCCTGGCCAGTTTGGCTCAGCGGTTAGAGCGTCAGCCTGCGGTCCAGAGAGACCTGGGTTCGGTTCCCGCTAAGGGCACGTACTTCGGTTGCAGTTTGTCCCCGGCCCTGGTTGGTCGTGCGGATGGGTGGCAGCCACTCGATGTGTCCCTTCACGTCGATGTTTCTCGCTCTCTCTCCCTTCCTCTCTCTCCCTCCCACTCTATCTGTACAAAAAATGGAAAAATGTCCTCGGTTGAGGATTAAAAAAAAAAAAAAAGAAAAGATAAACACGACACTCCATGTGGGATAATGCCGAGTCTGAGGCATCTGTGGGTTATCCAAAATGGACGTGGTGAGCTGGCTATTTGGGTCTAGAGATGGGGAGAGATCTGGGCTAGAAAATACAAGGTTTTGGGGGTTGTCAGCACATAGGCAGCAGGGGAAGCCATTGGAATGGACAAATCACTGTCAGAGAGTGTGTGGCCTGAGAAGAAAAACCCCACCATTTAAAGTCAGGTGGAGAAAAGTGTCACAGATGAGACTCACAAGAGGCCAGAAGAAAGTGGGTCATGAAAATTAGAGAAAAGTTCCAGGAGGAAGGGAGTGGTCAATAGTGATGGGTGCTGTCAAGTCAGCGAACAAGAATGCAGGTCGAAAAAGAGAACAACAGAAAAGTGAGTCTGGACTGAGTAAACCGGGACACTGTTGACAACGCTGGTGGATGTGGTTCCAGGAAACTGACAGGAGCAGCAGCGAAACAGCAGGTTGAGTGTTTGAGAGGGGAGGCAGAAAAGGAGAGGAGAGGAGCTAGAAGGTCTTTTTTTGTCCTTGAGAGTTGCTAAGGAATAGTTTTTGTTGTTTTGTTTTGTTTTGTAAGAGAGATTTAAGGATGTTTATAGGCTAATAGACTAGATAGGAGAGGTTGAAAATGAGGCAGGAAGGTATGGAAACAGGAGTGGGAGGATGAGGCCCAGAGCCCAGGTGGAAGGGTTAGCTTTGGATATACTATATTTAAGCTACAGATATAAAAACAGGTGTCAT